GAGACAAAACCAGATATTCATACAATCCAGCAATTTTGATTATGCAGTGCTGAAAAGTAAAATCTACCAACTCCTGGGTTGGGGGAGGTGGTAATTTACATTGACTGGTATTGTAAACTAAATAGATATGGGGTGCCATATTGATCAGAATCATCAGATGAACAGCTGCCAGTTCCGATGTCTCAGGACTGCTAATTCTAAACTGCAGTGATTCAAACATGTTCTGGAGATTATGAGTACTATTTTAACTTTGCTACACACTCATATTTTGGAACAATTTCCAAGGACACACTGACTATAAAGATCTGTATAAAATATAAAATATAAATCTTACTTTACAATTTACATCATAGAAAATGCAATTCACCTGCCTGCAAAAAGGTTAATCCACTTGGAACGTTTTCCGTGGTTGTGGACATTCATTCCACATCGAATGCATGCTGTCCAACATCAGCGATTGCCCAGTTTGTCAAGCAACAACGTTGGCAAATGTTGAAGCTCTTGGAAGGCCTTGGAAAGACAGCAAATATTAACGCTGTTTGCCTCGGCGACTCGCTTTGGAGAGGACGAAAGCGACGAAGAAAGTGAGGCAGCCGATGACGATGAACCAGAAGACGAACAGAACGAAGCCCTCGCGAACAGTTTGTTAGCAAAAATAAGCATTTCGCGAAGGTCTGACAATCGCCATTTTGCCAACCGGATATGTACAGTAATGAGTGTGTATGAGCACAGTTTATTAACTGTGGTATGAGTCATGCGATACTGTCCTGGATCGTTGTGACGCATTTCCGATGCGAGATGAGATGATATAGGTAATATTTAAAAACATTTCGGCTGTGGTGTGGGGAAAATAAGTTTAAACTGCCAAATCTACCAATTTTTTTATGTATGTGTTAAGATAGTGCAAGTGAGAGTATACTATTTTACGCGCGTTAAAACACTGTTATTCAAACATAAATATTTCGCAGTCTAGATCGAATTTAAAAAATCCCCCCGAGGAAATTAAAGAAGAAAGCATGCTTTATCAGAATTTCTCAGTTTTGGAGTAAAAAGTTTAATATCGAATGTCACGAGGGGCGTAGAACAAGGTGTTATTCTCTCACTCCTTTTGTTTATATGTTTCGAATTTCAGGCATTCTGATTGGTCAAGGACGCAAAATGTAAAAAAACGCGCTGATTGGCTAACATTATTTACCCTTGTTATTGTGTATATATATATAGTGTCTATATATACACAATATACGTATATTATCAGTATATAGTCAAAAGTGTATAAAGTGTATATAGTGAGTGTTTGAGTGGATGTCCAAGAGGATATAGTGTATATTGTGTATATAGTGTCTTTATATACACAATATACCGCGTATATATTATCAGTATATAGTCAAAAGTGTATAAAGTGTATATTGTGTGTGTTTAAATGAATGTCCAAGAGTATATAGTGTATATTGTGTATACGGTGTCTATATATACACAATATACGTATATTATCAGTATATAGTCAAAAGTGTATATAGTGTATATAGTGAGTGTTTGAGTGAATGTCCAAGAGTATTCTCACTGGGAGTTTTCTCTCACAATACCATATACTTTGAATATTTATGTATGAGATGATCAGTTAGTCATCCATATACACCACGTGATTGTCAGACAGTATAAAAGTAGCACAGAATCGGCATAGATTAGGAAATGAATAGATGCTCACTCCTTTGATGTTTTTGACGCTGCCGGCACCCACGCATGTTCTTGCCAGAGTAATGGCGGCCTAGCAAGTAACTGTAGTAAAATCCATTGTGAAATTGACATCGGTAACAGAAGGAATTGATTCACGCATAATGGCTGTACTGTAAAGTCCAATCTACAGGATAAGAATCGTATATGACTAGTCGTATTGTGTAGATGGGCCTGAACACTATTTGTGCAGAAGTACTTAGTAAGTAAGTTGTACAAAAATTGTCAGAAAGGCACTTTCACACTCAATTTATTAGATATTAGCATGTATTTCAGCCCTGGTCAACGACCAGGCTATAAAATGCATTCAGAATTATGTCAAACTGATCATATAATTAAATTATTAAAAATGTCATACAGTATATGAATCAGGCAATTCATAAATTATTAAATACTGATTACTGGTTAACTGGTATAAATACTATAATTTTTAAGCCGAAAAAAATGCTTAGAATATTGTGGGGGTTTTCTAACCAAAATTGCATAGAGAATTTTGATTAATTATCTTTTTACCTTATTTAACAGATTAGTATTTACAGTATATAAATTAATAAAATTATTAAATATACTGACAG